ATGTTACCTTGTATTTACTAGATTTACATACAAATAATAATGATAAATGATGATAAAATAAAAAGCTTGTGTTTTGTTTGTAAATTGCTTATTTTTTCATTACATTGAAGTTGTGGATTCTATCAAACATTTTTCTACAGGATGTATGTACTGTATTTTTTTAATGTGGCAGTCTTTGAAGCATATCAACTGTGCAAAAAGAGGGCTAAATGTACTCAATGTTAACAGTAAATGCTGTTTTATTATGTCGATATTCCACACTAAAAAATGTGAGGGTCAGGGAATTTGGACAAAGTTGGTCAGGGAAAATCAGGGAAAGTCAGGGAATTCAAAACAAAAATTTGAGTAGGAACCCTGTATTTACATTTTATACTTAATTTACATAATTGGAACACTAGCATTCAAAATATGGGGGTACTACAGTATATACAAATGAAAGTTGTTCTAAATATTTAAATTTATTTTTTCAATTTATATGAATTTACTTTACAGCTGGATGATTTATAAAGTAATCAATCTATTAATAAATACAGTCTTTTGGCATTAATTTAGAATATTTTTTAAACAAAAGTAGGCACACAAATACTTTCATTATTTTACAAATATTGTCTTTAGGTGAAATAGAACATATTTAGAATAAAAATAAAATTTAAGTAGGAGTTATTAATCGAAATTCACACTATCTTAACAAATTTTGAATGAATTTAGAAATTTTTTTAATATGAATTTTTGAATTCAAATGAAAGCAATGTGACATGAATAAATATATGATGTTTAAATACATAAAAAAATGGTGAAAATATGATATATGATCATTATAGTAATTACATAAAAATTACAGTCAGTTTTTTTTAAACATTTTAGGAAACATGAAAGTGCTAAATATATAAGCTATGATTTTAAACTTATTGACTTATCCACCTAAATTTTGTTCTTATTTTAAATACGTTTTATTCTGCTTGTATACATTCTATTTTCTTCTATTGTGAAATGTTGAAAGTACTTGTCTGCCTGTTTTTGTTTGAATTAAACTAAATTAATATCAAAAGACAGTGTGTATCTATTAATTGTACAAATGTGATGTTGAATATGTTATTCAGTTTTAGTAAGCAAGCTATGGCTTAAACAGTGATGTTTTTAAATGATATTTTAAGCCTGAATTTATTAGTAGAAATAGAGATTACATAATTTAAAAACTTGTAAAATAGAAAATAGAAAATCTTCAAAATAAAAATCATAAATATATTCATTGAANAATTCAAAACAAAAATTTGAGTAGGAACCCTGTATTTACATTTTATACTTAATTTACATAATTGGAACACTAGCATTCAAAATATGGGGGTACTACAGTATATACAAATGAAAGTTGTTCTAAATATTTAAATTTATTTTTTCAATTTATATGAATTTACTTTACAGCTGGATGATTTATAAAGTAATCAATCTATTAATAAATACAGTCTTTTGGCATTAATTTAGAATATTTTTTAAACAAAAGTAGGCACACAAATACTTTCATTATTTTACAAATATTGTCTTTAGGTGAAATAGAACATATTTAGAATAAAAATAAAATTTAAGTAGGAGTTATTAATCGAAATTCACACTATCTTAACAAATTTTGAATGAATTTAGAAATTTTTTTAATATGAATTTTTGAATTCAAATGAAAGCAATGTGACATGAATAAATATATGATGTTTAAATACATAAAAAAATGGTGAAAATATGATATATGATCATTATAGTAATTACATAAAAATTACAGTCAGTTTTTTTTAAACATTTTAGGAAACATGAAAGTGCTAAATATATAAGCTATGATTTTAAACTTATTGACTTATCCACCTAAATTTTGTTCTTATTTTAAATACGTTTTATTCTGCTTGTATACATTCTATTTTCTTCTATTGTGAAATGTTGAAAGTACTTGTCTGCCTGTTTTTGTTTGAATTAAACTAAATTAATATCAAAAGACAGTGTGTATCTATTAATTGTACAAATGTGATGTTGAATATGTTATTCAGTTTTAGTAAGCAAGCTATGGCTTAAACAGTGATGTTTTTAAATGATATTTTAAGCCTGAATTTATTAGTAGAAATAGAGATTACATAATTTAAAAACTTGTAAAATAGAAAATAGAAAATCTTCAAAATAAAAATCATAAATATATTCATTGAAATGAGATATAAATGTAAGATGTTTTAAAGAAATAATGACTTTCTATTTATTAAATAATTAATAAATTATTTAATAAATTGAAATTTTTATTTTTGAGTGTTTTTGTTGAATAATTAAAACATAATTTTGAATATAGAATGTAATTGTTTTCAGGGTTATGATGGAGAACCAAAAACATACATTGCAACTCAAGGACCTATGGCTCATACTGTTGATGATTTTTGGCTAATGATTTGGAAAGAAAAAGTGCCCATTATTGTTATGATTACAAAATTAAAAGAAAAAAATAAGGTATTTTTATTTTATTTTTAAGTTTCTTAATATTTTGTTTTGAATAATGATTAAATAATTTCTGTTATATAATTTCAGTAATTTCATTACTAGTGATTTAACAAATACAATTTATTCATATTTGAATTATGTGAATCATGGAAATTATTGAAATAAATCCCAAAAATCAAATTTAAAGAAAAAACATGTTAAGAGCTGGTATATAGCTAAAAACACACTTGTACATTATTTTTTGTTTTCATACAACTGGTTTGGTGTGCAGGTGTGTGTAAACACATTTTTAATATAAACTTAATTAATATAATAAAATATAATCATTTTAATTAAAAAACAGCTGACATTATATTAGTGATTATTAAGATTAGTGGTCAATGGTCTGTGAGAATCACAAAGGTTCATTCCTCTAATATATGTTTAATGTATTTGATTTCTGCATATATTGTGTTGTGTGTAGTTCACAAACAAAAGTGGATCCCTTTCCATTAAAATAATTATTCAGAAATTAATTTATGTAATTACAAAATTTATCTTAAACTAAGTATGTAATTTTTATGGGAAATAATTTAAACACTTTTTGTAAATTATTAAATTATATTTTGTTCAGAATATAATTCTAAAATGTTTAGTAATGCATATCTAAAATAATTTTAAACTGTACATGTTCTTTGTTCTGGATATGATTTTAATTTAAACTTGTAAATTGTTCATATAATTCATTTACTTTTAATATAGCTGTTTTGTTCTGTGTTATGTACCTGATGATGATTGTTTAACCCCTTAACGCCCACTTATTAATTAATTTAATGTAATTAAGCATAAAAAATACTTAAAACTGAAAAAAAACGAAAGAAATGCGTTAATTTTGAAGAAAAAGCTTCAAATTTTATTTTCCTTTGTTTTGCCTTTCTGTGAAATTTGACACCAATGAGTCATTGTTTACACAGCTGGATGACCTTGAGAACATCTGGTGTAGGATTTCCTGGGACATTCTCATAGACGTCCTAGGAGGACAAGGGTTAAAAGTAGGGTGAATACTAGCTACACCTATATTTTTAAATATTTTTAAAAAATTAAAATTTTTATTGCAATTTCCGACTCCCCCGACTTAATTAAACTTATATATAATAAAATCTATTAATTAAAAAAATTAAAAAAACTATTGGAGGTCGTTTTTGACATCAGAAAGTAGCTTTAAATAACTTTACCGAAGTAAAATCCGTGCATGCAAACGTGAAAACAACAGGAATACAACTGAACTAAAGTCTTTCTACAGAATATTATCGTCAAAGAGACGGGATGGCAATGAACTAAAGGCATTATATCGCCTATATCATAAGATTATACACTAATCTTATAATATAGAGTAGTTATTATGCACAGTACTTATAAATTGCAAAGTTTGTATGCATTTTTCGGAAACATAATGGGCAGGAGAAATATCCGCGCACTCTTCGTGTGCTTGTTTAGCTCATTTTTGTATCTTATCCAGTTTCCTGCTGTTCTTGAAAATAATTCGTTACAGTAGCCTATAAACATTCAGCTTCTTTAGTATC